CTAAGAGTATAGTTTATATCAGAAACAATGCAGATAAGAAGACAGTAGGAAAATATTTTAGAAGTACTGAAAGAAAAAAATTAACAACATTTTGTACCAAATCAGAATGTCTATAAAAATGGAGAAATAAAAAAAATGGAGAAATAATTTTACACGTTAAAAATGTAAATAATATTTGAACAATAGACTTACACCTCATGAAATGTCTAAAAGTCTTTCTGGCTGAAATAAAATGATACCAGATAAGAACTACAAAAAGCAAAGAAGACCAAAGGAAATGGTAATTATCTAGGTATTTTTTTCTTATTTAAATCCCTTTAAAAATAATTGTTTAAAACAGATAAATATATAATATGGATTTACTTGAGGAGCCATTATATCACACATTGGTAGATTGTGTTAAGTTAAATATGTATAATATAAACTTTGAAGCACCACTAAAATAACAGTCACAGTTAATAAGCCAAACTGACACATGAATTAAAATAGAATTTTACAAAAACATTTGTTTAATCTCAAATTAGGCAAAAAAAAAAAAAAAAAAAAGAGAACAAAGAAGAGATAAAAAAAAAAAGAAAAACAGAAAGGATAGATTCAAACCTATTATAGTAATCACATAAAATGTAAATGTTGCAATATTTCAATTGAAAGGCAGAGATTGTCTAATTTGATTTTTTAAAGAAAGCAAGACCCAGCTATCAATGTTGTATGAAAGAAATGTACTTCAACTATAGACACAAGTAGATTATATGTAAAAGGATGGGGAAAGATGTATCACATTAACAGAAATCTAAAGAAAGCTGGAGTATGATATTATACCAAGTAGATTTGAGAGCAAATAATATTAGGAATAAAAAAGGTGATTATGTTATGCTAGAATGGTCAATTCATTAAGAATTCAAGCAAGTCTTAATGTTTGTGAACCTCATGAATGAGCTTTAAAGTATGTGAAGCAAAAGCTGCAAGTAGAAATATAGAAATTCCTGAATGTGATCAGATATTTTGATTTTCTTAATAATAGAAGTAGGCAAAAAAAAAACCTCAGTGATTATACAAAAGATTTGAATAACGCAGCCAACTTGACATGATTGACATTTGTAGAAATTTTACCTGTCAAAGAAGAATACATTTCTTTTTAAAAGCACTGGAAACCCAAAGTAAACCATATTCTGTAAAGCAAGTATCAATTAATTTAAATGACTAAATCATATAATGGAATTTTCTGACCATGATCAAATTAAATTAGAACTACATGAATAAAAAAAGATTTCTGGAAAAGTCCCAAATATTTGGAAACTGAATAACAAACTTTTAAATAACTTGTGTTCAAATAATCTTTTCAAAAGAAAAATTGTAAAGTATTTTGAAGTGAATGAAAATGAAAATACATGTAACAAAACTTATAGAGTGTTGCTAAGACAGTACTTAGGGGAAAATGTATATTGCCTAATATTAGAAAAGAAAAAAGTATCAATCCAATGACACTTGCTTCTACCTTAAAAAACTAGAAACATCAAAGTATAATGATCCCAAAGTAAGTAAAAGGATGGAAGCAACAGAAATTAGAATAGAAATTAATGAAATAGAGATGAAAAAAACATGGAAGAATTATAATCAGGTCAAATTTTGAGGAGATTGATAAAATTGTTCAACCTCTAGATAGAGAAAACAACTGATATCAAGAGTTAGAGATCTGATGTGATATTTTTATAGATTCCACCAATATTAAAGAGATAGTAAGGTAATATTATGAACAATTTTATGCCCATAAATCTGACAGCTTCCATGAAATAGGGAAATCCCTCAAAAGACACAAACTCATTTTAGAAAAAAAAATGTCTCTAATAAATAAATCAAATTTGTACTTAAACAGTTTCTGACAAAGAAAGTTCCAGGCCCAAATGGTTTTACTGAAGAACTAAACCAAATATTTAAACAATATCTGATTTTGCACAATTTCTAGAAAATTAAAAGGGAGTACATACTTTCCAACTTATTCTATGAAACTGGCATTATCTTTACATCAAACCTGGACAAAGACATTGTAAGAAAAGAGAACTATAAACCTATTTCTCTCATGAACATAAATACGAGAACTCTTAAAATTCTGGCAAATTGAAACCTCCCCCATATTAAAATAAATTATGATCAAGCAATACTTATGAAAGGAATGCAAGGTGGCCGCCTGGGTGGCTCAGTCACTTAAGTGTCTGCCTTTGGCTCAGGTCATGACCCCAGGGTCCTGGGATTGAGTTCTGCATTGGGCTCCTTGCTCTGCGGGGAGCCTGCTCCTCCCTCTCCCTCTGCCTGCCACTTCCCCTGTTTGTACTTTCTTTCTCGCTTTCTCTCTGTCAAATAAATAAAATTATAAAAAGAAAAAGAATGCAGGTTGCCTTAATATTTGAAAATCAGTTGGTATAATCCACCATATTAATAAACTAAAAAAGCCCATTATCATAATAGATGCCAAAAGGCCCATGATAAAGTACATCTATTCCTGATGAAGTAGGAAACTAGGAATGGAAGGGAACTATGAAAAATATAGTTAACTCTATACTTAGTGATTATTATGGAATGAATATGTTTCCCCTCCTACCAAAATCGTATGTTGAAGTCTTAGTCTCCACTGTGGTAGGATTAGGATTAAGGAGATCATTAGGTGTAGATAAGGTCATGAAGGTAGACCAACCTCCCCATAATGATGGAGATTAGTGTCCTTATAAGAGAGGGGAATAAACCAAAGACTTCCCTCAATTTGCCATGTGGGGATACACTGAGAAGGTGATGGTCTGCAATCTGGGAAGAGAGCTCACACAGACACGGTGGGAAATAAACGTTTGTTGTTTAATCCAAACTATGATGTTTTGCTACAGCAGCCTGAGCAAAGACAATGGTGAAACATTGAATGACCAGGAGTATAATAAGAATATCTACTTTCAGCACTTCTATATTAACACTATTGTGGATATTCTAACCGTTATAATACTGTAAGCAAAAGAAAGTCATCCCAATAAGAAAATTGGAAGTAAAATTGTATTTATTTGAAGGTGACACAATTGTCTATACGGAAAATCCAAAACCCACTATAACTGAAAAAATGAGCTTAGCAAGTTTGTAGGACACAAGGTCAATATGCAAGAATTCAGAGTATTTCTACAGACAACCTAGAAATAAGCAGAAATTAGTGTCAAAAAAACGCCCAGTTCTAACAGTATTAGGAAAAAAGAAATACTGTAGAAGAAAAGATCATTATACAAGAATTTATGGTGTTTTTGTATACTAGCTACCAATAACTGGAAATTGATAATACATAAAAACGCCATTAGTAGTAGTATCAAGAAGCAGAAATAATGATAAACATCAGATATGATAGTCCAATTCACAATTACTAAAAAATATTCCTGAGCTAAGTTAAAAGCCTAAATTTTTAGAGAGATATCCCATGTTCATGAGTTGGAAGACTTAATATATTAAGAAGTTAATCCTCCTCAAATTGATGTATGTATTCAATGTGATCGCAGTAAAAAATCCCAACAGGCTTTCTCTTTTAGATATTATATAAGTAACTTAAACTCATATGATATACAAAGGACCTAGAAAAATAAAAAAAAAAACAATTCTGATGAGTAGAAGTGGAGGGCCAACACAATTTGATTTCAAGAGTTTTAGCTAATATAATAAGGAAAATAGTATTTTTTTTGTAAATACGGACAAATATATCAGTGTAAAGAATAGAAAGTCCAGAAATAGGCCTATATATAAATGGATAATTGATTTTTGACAGGATGCAGATACAATTTAGTAGAGAATATATGTCATTTTAACAAACTATGATGGAACAATTAGATATCTATATGTTAACATATGAACTTTGGTCTATATCATGTAGCACATAAAAGAGTTAAAATGGATTGTAGATTGAATATAAAATATAAAATACCAAGAATATAGGAAAATGTTTTGTAAACTTGGGTTCAGCTGAGTTTTCTTAAATATGGTACCAAATACATGATCCATAAAGAAATATATTGATTAATTGGTCTACATCAAAGTAAAGTATTTCTGTTCTTTGAAAGTCTCTGTTAAAGGGAATGAAAAAAACAAGCCATAGATTGTGAGAAGATATTTGAAAGTCATAAATATAAAACAAAAGAAAATCATAAATCTGATGAAGGACTTGCTTCTAGAATATATAAAGAAATTTCAATGCTTAATAAAAGAAAATAATAAGAGCAGGCAAAAGGTTTGAACAGACATTTAAACAAATATATACAGATGAGAAACAAGCATACGGAAAGATGGCCAACATCTTTATTCATCAGGGAATGTAATATTAAAAACCATAATATGAACTACTATATCCTTGTAAGAAAGTCTAAATTTAAAAAGACTCATTATACTAAGTGTTGATGAGGAATGTTGAAAGTGACTGAAACCCTTATACACTGCTGGTGGAAATATAAAATAACACAACCAAATTAGAAAAGTGGCAGTTTCTCAAAAAGTTATATGAACACCTACTGTATGATTCCTCCACCTTAGTATTTACTGAGACATGGAGACATATCACCATACAAAGATCATATAAAGAATAACTATATGAAAGAAGCCAGACAGAAAGTGTATATACTGTATGATTCCATTTCATAAAATGCTTTAAAATTCATATTAATGAATAATGACAGAAACCAGCAGATGCTGGGAGCAGGGGCAGAGATATTACAAAGGGGCACAATGAAATTTTGGAGATGATGATTGTTCGTTAACATGATTGTGGTGATAGTGGTGATGATTCCACAAGTGTATACATATATCAAAAAATTTCAGATTGTATATGTTCATTGTACATATTGAGTTAGTCCTTAATAAACCTGTTAAAAAGAAATTATTTCAATAATCATATTTTTAGGGATTTCATTGATATCCTGATATATACATTATAAGTATAATACTGTGGCATAATTACATTAATTCTTTTTTTTTTTTTTTTTTTTTTACAGAACAGGACACTTGGGAAACCTGACAGCTCCTTGCAATTCTCATTGTAAATGCTCATCTTCATTTTATTCTGCTGTCTGTGGAAGAGATAATATTGCATATTTTTCTCCTTGCTTTGCAGGCTGTACACAATCCAAAACATTTAATTATCACAAGGTAATTATTATTTCACTATGATTCTCTCTCTCTAATAAGACGTTCAATTTGTAGATGGTGTTTACATTTTACTCCTAGCTCTCTATAAAAGCTTTTTTCCTCATAAAGAAAAAAAAAAAGAACAGGAAAAGAGTATTTTTTTTATGTGGCCATGATACAAAGGGCTTATGGGAATTGGCAGTGGAAAAAAATTCTTCTACATTAAAACATGCCTCAATAAGTAAGAAAATTATGAAAGGAAAAAACTCATTGGTAAATAAAAACATAATAAAAGTATTAGATTAGTCACTAATAAAACCAGGATGGAGATTAAAGCACAAAAGCAGTGAAATGCCACTTAGATCTATAACAATAAAAGGGTATAAAATATGGTATCATATACATAAAATGGGGGAGAACAAATGTCGTGCTTTTAGAACTGGTCAAACTTAACCATCAACTTAATATTGATGAGTATATATATAGGATGTTATATATGAACCTAATCAAACAAATAAAAAACCTAAAATAGATATGCAAAAAAAGAGACAGGAATTCAAGGATATCACTAAAGATAGCCAAAAAACCACAGAAGAAAGAGAGCAAGAGAAGAAAGGAATGGAGAACTGCAAAAACAACTATTTAAAAAAAAGCTAACAAAATGGCAGTAAGTAACAAAAGGCACACCTATCAATAATTGCTTTACCTGGGATCCCTGGGTGGCGCAGCAGTTTAGCGCCTGCCTTTGGCCCAGGGCACGATCCTGGAGACCCGGGATCGAATCCCACGTCGGGCTCCCGGTGTATGGAGCCTGCTTCTCCCTCTGCCTATGTCTCTGCCTCTCTCTCTCACTGTGTGCCTATCATAAATAAATAAAACAAAAAAATTAAAAAAAAAAACAATTGCTTTACCTGTAGGAAGACTAAATGCCAATTGAAAGACATAGGGTGACTGAATTAAAAAAGCAAGACCCATCAATATGTAGCCTACAAGAGACTCACCTCAGAGACACAAGCAGATTGAAAGTGAAGAGATAGGAAAACATTTGTCATGCTATTGGAGCAAAAAGAAAGCGAAAGCTAGGGTAGGAAGACTTTATATCAGAAAAAAATGTACTTTAAAATATACTTTAAGACTATAGCAAGGAACAAAGAAGGACACTACATAATGATAAAACAATCCAACAAGAACATAAAAAATTGTGAATATTTATGCATTCAACGTGTGAGAACCCAAATACATAAAGCAACTATTAACAGACATAAAAGCAGAAATCAATAGTAATACAATAATATTAGGGGGCTTTAACATCCACTTAAATCAATGGATAGACCTGACAAAAAATTAACAAAGGACACGGGCTAAAATGACACATTGGAACAGATAGACCTAACAGATATATTCAGAACATTCCATTATAAAACAGCAGAATATACATTCTTTTCAACCTGGAACATTCTCTAGAATAGAACATGTATTAGGCCACAAAACAATCTCGACAAATTCAAAAAGACCTAAGTCATACCATGCATCTTTTCTGACCACAACAGTGTAAAACTAGAAATCAATTACAAGAAAAAATCTGGAAAGAATACACATACATGATGATTAAATAATATGCTACTGAACAATGAATGAGTCAACCAAGAAATCAAAGAGGAAATAAAAAATTACATGGAGGCAAATGAAAATGAAAACACAATGGCCCAAAATCTTTGGTATGCAGTAAAAACTGTTGTAAGAGGGAAGATCATAGCAACACAGGCCTACTTCAAGGAGCAAGAAAAATCCCAAGTAAACAACCTAACCTTACACCTAAAGGAGCTAGAAAAAGAATAAAACCCAAAGTCAGTAGAAGAAAGGAAATAATAAAGATTAGAAATAAATAAAATAGAGACTAAAGAAACCATAGAACAGATCAATGAAACTGGTTTTTTTGAAAAGATCAAGAAAATTGATAAACCTTTATCCAGAGTCATCAAAAAAAAGAAATGAAATAAAATAAATAAAATCAGAAATGAAACAAAAGAAATAACAACTAACATCATAGAAATTGTAAGAAATTTTACACCACAAAGGGTTATAAGAGAATATTATAAAAATCATAGGCCAACAAATTGGATAACCTAGAAGAAATGGATAAATTCATAGAAACATATCACCTCTCAAAACCTTGCCAGGAAAAAATACAAAGTTAGAACAGACCAATTACTGGTAATACAATCGAATCAGTAATTATATGGAGAACAAACTGATGGTTACCAGAGGAGAGGTGGGCAGGGGGATGGGTTGGGTAGGTGATGGGGATAAGAAAGGCACTTGTAATCAGCACTAGGCATTGTATGTAAGTGTTGAATCACTAAATTCTACACCTGAAACAAATATTACACTGTATGTTAACTAACTGCAACTTAAATAAAAACTAGGAAAAAAAAAGAAACTTCCAAGAAACAAAAGACCAGGACCAGATGACTCCATCAGTGAATTCTACTAATTTACAGAAGGGTGAATGCCCATTCTTCGCAAACTTTTCTGAAAAACAAGAGGAAGGAAATCTTCCAGATTTGTTCTATGTGGACAATATTACCCTGATACCAAAACCAGATAAAAATACTACTGAGGGAGAGAAAGAGAGAGACAGAGAGTGAGTCAGTCCAATAGGCTATTATCTCTGATGAACACAGAGGCAAAAATCCTGAACAAAATATTGGTAAATCAAACACAACAAAACATTACAAAAGTCATTCACTACAATCAGCTGGGATTTATTGCTGGGTTGCAAAGGTGATTCAGTATTCACACTTCAATGTGATACATCACATCAATAAGAGAAAGGTTAAAAACCATATGATCATCTCAATAGATGGAGAAAAACATTTGACAGAGTACAATGTCCATTCATGATAAAAAAAAAACCCTCAACAAAGTAGATTTAAAGTGAACATAGCTCAACATAATAAAGGCCATATATGAAAAACCCACAGCTAGCATCATATTCAAAGGGGAAAAACTGAAAGTTTTCCCCCTAAGATCAAGAACAAGACAAAGATATCCACTTCCACCACTTGTATTCAGCATAGTACTGGAAGTTTCAGCCACAGCAATCAGACAAGAAAAAGAAATAAAAGTCACCCACATTGGTAAGGAGGAAGTAAAATTTTCACAATGTGCAGGTGACATGACACTACACGTAGAAAACAGCAATACAAATGACTTACAATTGAATGACTTACCCCTCTTTGTCTTTTGTCGTTTGTATCTATCAGGACTCAGTTTAAAATTTCCATATTTGCTCATATGTTGGCCATAACCTTCAGAATTCTTTATTTCCCTTTTACCAACCTCCAGACAAATTTTCTTGTTTTGTCATATACAGTTGACTACTCTTATTTGACTTCATGTTAATTTTCTTATGTCTTAATCTGCTTTTGGCTAAATAAAGCAGTATAACTTCAGCGTCTTCCTTTTTTTTTTAATTTTAAGGATTTTATTTATTTGATAGAGAGAGCCAGAGAGCCCAATCAGGGGGAAGGGAATAGTAGAGGGAGAGGGAGAAGCAGAATCTCTCCTGAGCAGTGAATCCGACAGAGGGCTCCAACACTGGGTTCCATCCCAGGATCCTGGGATCATGAGCTGAACAGAAGGCAGACACTTAACCGACTGAGCCACCCTAGCACTCCTAGATTCTTCCTTTTAAGTGGCACCAAAATATTTTTTTTCAATGAAAATATGTCAATTTGGAAACAATTCTGATTAAAGGCAGCTGGGTGGCTCAGTAGGTTAACAGTCCTACTCTTAATCAAGCTCAGGTCTCTATCTCAGGACTGTGAGTTCATGCCCTGTGTTGAGCTTCACCCTGAAGGTAGAGCCTAGTTAAAAGATTTTTTTTTTTTTGCTCTGAAATAATTCTGATTAAATGTTTATATTTAAAACATCAGAGTCAAAGGGATCCGAATTGGATGCTCTTCAATTATACTTAATGTGAAAGTTTGAGTGGTAGAAAATATTGTATCTCTGACGATTTCTAAGTTTCTACTCTTAGAAACTCTCTACTCTTAGTTTCTATAGAAAATTAGAAAAAAATTAGATTCTATAGAAAATTAGAGCTTTTCGAAAGCTGAAAATTGCTATCTGTTCTTCATATTGATAATATTCCTGGGGAGTTTTGCCTCATTGAGACCCACGTGCATTTTTCCTATCTGTGCTACCAGAGATCTTCCAATTTCCTTAATATAGATAACAAAAAAATCTTGGGCTTTTCTTCGTGATTTTGTCATTGAGACTAATCCTTTTCCAGCTGATAGAGACTTCATATAAAATCATAGGATCATGGTGCTTTTTCCAGAGGTTGCCCTATTACAACAGGAGACTCACTCTAATTATCTGTGGAGGGGGATATTAATCTCACATAACACATTAAGGATTGTAAGAAGCCAGGCTTCAAGGTCTCCTTCCATTGACACATCCTTAAAATATTTTAATTTCATGTACTCCTCACCTTTGTGTTATTTTTACCATATATTGTATTTCTTCATGTATTTTAAATGACATGTACTATTATTGTTTTTTAAAGGCAATACACACTTAGATTTCTTCATTTCCTTGCATTTCTATGTTTTCATATTACATTATTTTCTTTTTTCCTGAAGAACCATATTTCACCTTCATTTTTGGAAAAAACTATGTCAGTGGGCCTGGAATTCTATATTGGCAGTGACCTATCCACCCTCAACCCTGCCACCCTGGCATGTAAAAGACACCATTTGATTGTCTTACATCTCTCTTTTTTTTAATTTTTTTTTAATTTTTATTTATTTATGATAGTCACAGAGAGAGAGAGAGGCAGAGAGAGAAGCAGGCTCCATGCACCGGGAGCCCGACGTGGGATTCGATCCCGGGTCTCCAGGATCGCGCCCTGGGCCAAAGGCAGGCGCTAAACCGCTGCGCCACCCAGGGATCCCTGTCTTACATCTCTTACTGCTTGGTGGCTCTTAAGATTTTTCTCTTTGTTCTTGGTTTTCAGCAGTTTTACTTTGATAGGCCTAGATTGGATTTTCATTACATTTATTTTTCTTGGTTTTCACAGGACATCTTTAGTCTGTAGATTTTTGTGTATCTATTTGAAAATTCTCAGCTGTTGTTTCTAATTTACTCTCCTCTTTTTAAAGGGGGGTGGGTAACCACATATTAGTTTACTATTGCTACCTAACAAATTACCACAGGATTAGTGTCTTTAAATAATTTTATGTATTTCACAGTTCTAAGGTCATGAGCCCAGACACCATGACTGGGTCCTCTGTTGAGTGTCACATGCTGAAATCAGGGTGTTGGCTGAATTGTGCTCTTTTCTGGAGGCTCTGGGGAAGAATCTTCCAAGTTCATTGGGGTTATTTGGCCATTCAGTTGCTTTGGACTGTAAAAAAATGAGATCTGTGTTTCCTAGCAAGGAACCTACCTGTCAGCCGAGGACCAATTTTAGCTCTTAAAGGCCACTCCCATTCTTTACTGCAGGGCTCCCTCCGTCTTCAAGGCTGGTAGCAGATAATCACTAGTAGGCCACATGCTTTGAATCTCTAATTTCAGAAAAAAATGAAATACCTTTTAAGGCTCACCTAGTTAGGTGACATTTAGCTTCTCTTTCTTTTTTTTTTTTTAAGATTTTATTTATTCATGAGAGACACAGAGAGGCAGAGACATAGGCAGAAAGAGAAGTAGGTTCCCCACAAGGAGCCAGATGCGGGACTCGATCCTGGGACTCCAGGATCACACCCTGAGCCAAAGTCCATTGCTCAACCACTGAGCAACCCAAGTGTCCTCTTAGCTTCTCTTTCGTAAAGTCACCTGGATATAACATAATTTAGTAAGGGGAGAAAACTTCATCATTTCATAGTCCTCAGAATCATACAGGCTTATGGAAGAGAGAGTGGGAATCTTAGGTGGCATCTTAGACTTCTGCCTCACAACGACTACAAAGAGGCTTTTCCACTGTCTATTCTACGTGTTTTTAAGTTCTAACATTTATATTTTTGTAGGATCCAAACCCATGGTGAAATTCCACATCATTTAAAATATTTTGTCCCTTTTCCCTTCTATTTCTTGGAAATTATTAATCATCACTATTTTAAAGTTCTTGCTTTTAGGTGCAATATGTGGATCATCTAGGAGTCTTACTTGTGTTTTTTCTTAATCATAAGCCAATTATTTTATCTCCCAATAAAATTTTACAGTTGTTTATTTCTCTTCATTTCAGCTTCATGTATTTTTAGGCCGTTATGTGTATACACATTGATAATTGTCATATCTTATTGCTGAGTTCCTTTTATCTTTATAAAGTGTCTTTTTCCATCTGTGCTAATAGTTGTGTCTTAACATCTATACTTTTTTTTAATTTTTTTTAAAAGATTTTATTTATTTATTCATGATAGAGAGAGAGAGAGAGAGAGGCAGAGACACAGGCAGAGGGAGAAGCAGGCTCCATGCTGGGAGCCCGACGTGGGACTTGATCCTGGGACTCCAGGATTGTGCCCTGGGCCAAAGGCAGGCGCTAAACCACTGAGCTACCCAGGGATCCCCAACATCTATACTTTAAATAGTCACTTTAGCTTTCTCTTGCTGACTGTTTCCATGTGTTATCTTATTTCTATCATTTTATGTTCCAACTATTTGTGACTAACATTTGAAGTGTTTCTTGTAGCCAGCATGTAATATGGTTTTGCTTTTTCTTCAATTCTATTGGTCTCTCATTTTAAACAGACGTACTTATTTATTGAGAGAGACAAAAGAATTCAATTCAATTTCTTGTGAAAGAGAGCATGTGCAAGGGGGGAAGGGGCACGGGAAGAGGGGGAGAAAATCTCAAGCAGCCTCCCCACTGAGTGAGGAATCTGACAAGGTTTTCCATCTCATGACCCTGAGACCATAACCTGAGCCACCAATTTCAATTTCTTGTGAAATCAAGAGTTGGACGCTTAACCAACTGAGCCACCTAGGTGCCTATCTGCTAATCTCTTAATTGGAGTTTTTAGCTATATAAATTTATTGTACTTATTGATATAGTGGAGTTAGATCTACCTTCTTCCTTTTTTATTATTTGAATTGAATATATTTTACTATTTCATATTAAGGTAATTTTTGGCATTTTGATTATGTTACGGAGTATAACTCCATTGTCCTTCAACCCTTCCTGGGCCTTATATTTTTTAATTCTACCATTTGCTCACTAAACCTTTTTCATATTTTCATTTCCCCCTTGGTCAGCCTAGTTTCTATTGTCTGCAACCATTTATTGTGCATTTATCTTTTGTCTGACCTCCAGGTCCACTTGGCACTGTTCTCTACAGTCCTCATTGTTCAAGGAGACTGAACAAGGGGATGAGAGCTTCCTTAGCTTCTGGATGGATTAAGATAATAAGAAATCCTAGTAGAAAATCAGAAAAATGGGGAGAAAAGTGAGGTTGTTGTGCTTATTTTCTTAGTTTCCTGTCTGAGCCATGGATTGACTTCATCTCTTAACTGAAGGTCTTAATTCCTCTCAGGGAGCCCTCCTCCATATGACTGTCCCCTTGGGTCCCCATTCTTACCCTAAGACCATTCAGCAAATCCTTTCAAATCTACTCTCAAAATAAATGCTGGATCTGACCAGCTTTGTAACATTTTCTGCTATCACTGTGGCCACAATCACCATTGTCTTGCAATTTATTTCAGTAGCTTTTTAACTGTTTCCTCAGCATTCACTCTTCCCTTCATAGTCCAATATAGCTATCAGAGTGATCTTTTAAAACATATCGTTTATACATTTATCTCTCCAAAGTTTTTACATTATTAAGAATAAAAACCAAAGTTCTTACATTGTTCTTGCAGTTACTTACCTGTTTCTGTATAATTTGCCTTTCCCCTTTTATTCTGATTTTATTTTTTCTTAGTTTCTTTCATGTTTACTCGGCTCCAGCCATTTGTCTCCTTGCTTTTCTTTGAGCTTATCAAGCAAGCTCTAATCCCATGGCTTTTCAATTTCTGTGTTTTTTTTTTCCTACCTGGAATATATTTCTTTTAGATAACCACATGGCTCACTTCCTTGCCTTCTTCTAATCTCTGCTCAAATATCACTGTATCCATGAGGCATTCCCAGATCATGCTAAAGTTACTTCTATAATCCCTCTATTTTTCATTAATTTTCTTCCCAAAGTATTTGTCACCATGTGTTTCATTATAAAGTGTTTTTTTTTTAAATTACCTGTTTCATCTGCATTATCGACATGATGGCAGGGGTTTCTGTTGTATTGCTTACTGTGTTTTCCTAGCACTTAGAATGCTGTTTGGCACACAGATACTAAAAAGACTATGGTGGAGTGAATTAAGTGCAATTTGGATGTTTGAATATTTCCATTTGTTATTTAATAGATCTAGTAATCACATAACAACTACCTCAAAGAAGTAGACATGATTTTTGGATCACGATTTTATGAATCATTCAAATTCAAGTCATCTCCATTTCTTCTTATCCTTTAACTAGTAACCTAGTACCATATTTCTGTCGAGTTTATTATTATTTTTTAAGTTAGAATAGTTTCAGTAGATTAATAAGTTGCTAACTGGTCTCTATATCTCTAAACTCTGTTTAGTTCTTCTTAGAAAATATTACTTATTCATCTTCTTTGATTTATCAACCCTACAAGGACAACCCAAAATTTTCATTTGGAGCTGCATTGTGACTATAATTGGCTTTAGATTCTTTGCCGTTGTAAGCCCTTTTCCTCACTTAAAAAAAAATTAGTATAGAACTTCTTTGTTATGAAAACAAGTTGATCCAGCTGGATTAATTATTATCATATTCATTTTTCCTTTAATTTTAGGAGACACTAAAACTAAAACATTTTAGGGGCCCTTAAAGTATTATGAGGCCTATGCATTGTGCCTACTCTGCCTAATAGATAACAGCCCTGTCATCATCTCATGATTCTAACACCTTCTACAGTTGGGTAACTGTCCATTTTTCCAATCCCAGCTAAAAATCCACTTTATTCATTATCTTAATTGTCCTCAATTTATTCCACTCTCTAACAATTATTTGTGCAATTGAATGTAAATATTTTTGGTGTAATTTTTTTAATTAATAGAATTTATCCTAAGTCACTCTAGTTACACATAAACATATTTTGTTACATAAAAAACTTAGGGTTTATCATTAATATTTTATTTCTAAATAATGAATGGCAGATTTAATGTAAGAATATTCACTAATAAAGTTAGCTAGTGTCCCTGCAGTTGCTGATTTTGTTTTATTTTACAATAATGAGTTTTTGCTTTATATTTCTACAAGATTGTTTTATCTTCATTTTCGTAGGCATACTACAATTGTTCTTGCATTCAAGAAGGATTAACAACCTCAGATGATCAAGGTGATTTTATTGATGCAAGACCTGGGACATGTGATACAAAGTGCTATAAATTACCTTTGTTTGTTGCTTTTATCTTCTCTACGATTTTATTTTCTATTTTTTCTCGGATACCAAGCACCCTGACCATCCTTCGGTATGTATATATTATTCAAAATCGTTGTTCATTTAATATATGAGAAAGTCAATTTAAGGAAGATTTTAGAATATTGCTATAAATGATTTACTCTTTCGTTTCAAGGTAGCAACTGTAAGATGGGAAATTGTTGTATTGTTAAAATTCATATATTTGTTTATTTCTATGATTTAACTAATTTTATTTGCTTAAAGTCTGTAATTATCACATTTAGTTTTAATTAAATTTAACTTACAATATGGTACCTTCATATACAGGAAAATTGTTACGTTGTCAAAATTCATCTATATGTTTAATTTGCTCTCATTTAATTTATTTACATAAAACATATAGATATCACATTTAGCTTAACTTTAAAACTAAATTTTTAATTTAATACACCTGGATAATTCATAAATATAGGAAAATTCTTAATTATAACACAAATGTGATTATCATGTTGATTCATTAGTTACAGATATTTATAGAATATTTGCTTGTATACTAACCAATTTGACTATGAAAAAACATGTGTCACTAATGAAGGAACATGAAAACTTAAAAACTATTAGAAAATCAGTACACAAGTTTACTCTAAATTAAGGCAACATTTGCTATTTATTTGTTCTTTCTGAATATGTGAAATATATTTAATATTTCTTTTTTCGTAGTAGCAAAATAGTTGGTTATTATTTTTTATTGTTTTTCAGGAGGCTGACATAAAACTTTAAGTTGTGAGAAGTAATTTGTCCCCTAGGAAAGCAGAGTGGAAAACATGAATATATATATATATATATATATATATATATATATATATATATATATGCAAAAACAATTCTGAGAACTTGGGAACATGTAGTTTATGCTTTCAATTAATTTGCAATTCATATGGGAGCAAAAGTTGCACATATCACTACAATGAAGCAGCTTTTTTTATTCATTCATCTGTGTCTGGACTAAAATTACAGGGACCAATAAGATATGTATCTTGTCTTCAAGTTGCTTGGAGTATAAAAGGGTGAGAAAAACACATAAGAAGTAGAGTGGATACTTAGAAGTGCCTTAGTTAAAACTTGGACATTGACCCAGGAAAAGGTGGAAGAAATGGTAATTTTTATCTAGATAGGATGATTTGGAAATGCTTATAGAAGGCATGGTTCTTGAACTGAGTTATGAAGATAAGTGATTTGTCATAATACAAGCAGGTTAGGGAAACATTCTTAACAGGAAAACTGAGCAGTAAAAGTAGAGGCCAAAATGTGTGAAATATCTTGGCAAGGAGTTTGTTATGACCAGAGTAGCATGATAGTAAAAGGGACAGGAAGATTTGGATTCCATTAGAGCCTGATCATGGCAAGATTTCTTTGCTATATTAACCTGAATGATTTTATAATGTGTGCACCTGGAGGCCGTTGAAAACAATAAACCTCAGAATTAAAAGTGGGGGGATCCCTGGGTGGCTCAGAGGTTTGGCGCCTGCCTTCGGTCCAGGGCGTGATCCTGGAGTCCCAGGATCAAGTCCCACATTGGGCTCCCTGCACGGAGCCTGCTTCTCCCTCTGCCTGTGTCTCTGCCTGTGTCTCTGCCTCTCTCTCTCTCTCTCTGTCTCTGTCTCTCATGAATAAATAAAATCTTAAAAAAAAAAGAATTAAAAGTGACCAGCTATGCATGTTAGATAGAGTACTTTGAAGATACTGTAAAAGATGAAGCTGGGGGGAAAACCAGAAAAAAAAGGTAGATATTTAGGATTCCACTTTGAACTTAATAGTGGTATTTAGGGATAGAGGTGATAGAATATATTTGAGAAACATTTAGTTTGGATATAAGGGCAAGATTATTACTTTGATGTTCCTCATACAGAATATAAAAAGAGTTAGGATTATGTGCAGGTTTCCAGTCTAGGGAACTAAATGCCTGACAGTTCATTAACTGAGATAAGAAATTCAAGAAGAGAATGCTTAGGTCAAAGATAATCAGTACAATGTTAAACATGCCGTATGTAAAGTTCATGTAAAACACCCAAATAAATATTTCCAGCAGTGAGGTGAGACAGATAGTAATATTCCAGAAGTTTAGTTCTGAGTTTTCTCACTTCTAGTAACTATACAGAACAATAGGAAAATAAATAAAATAAATAAGAAAAGGAAAACACATGTGCATGTGTGCATGTATGTTATAGTTTCCATGTAATTATGAAATAGATTTAAAAATCACAAAGTTGAAATTGCATGTAAATGTTCACAAAATTGAAGCAGAACTGGAAGCTAGCTATCACAAAGATATTACAAAGACTGAAATGAAATATGGAAAGGATTTCAGGATTGGCAGATCTCCTGTGTTGCCAGCATATATTTCCGCTCAGAAGGTGGGGGCCCCACCTTATAATGGAAGTTTTGGGAACAAACATAGGTGTATAAGTCAGGGTAGACTCCCTCCAGAAAAAATGAGAGAAAAGACTTGGAAAATGCCCAGGAGGTCAAGACATGGCAGATCTCAAAAAGTGCCAGCAAAATATACATCTTATAATTGAATACATAACCATGAAAAGCAAGAAAGTAAAGAGATCTCAGAAGCCCATAGCTTGCTGAAGTTCTTTTAAAGCACACCAGAAAAAGAAAAAAAAAGAAAAAAGAAAAAAAAAGAAAAAAAAAGCACACCCGAATTGGAGAGGCATAGGAGATAGAACCACACATGGGTTCTATCAACAGAGGAGTTAACTTCAGTTTTGAAGCATGGAAATCCTGGCTTATGTTCCATTCTCATAACTTACCTCTAATTTAAGAAAGTTCATGTCATTAAAATATGAGTAAATGGGAAAGGAAAAGGTTATGCCTACATACAAAATTACTATAGTAAAAGAAATGAAAGTTCTTGAGCATTACTTTATTACACACATTGAAGACTCAATAGAAAATTGTCACCATGAACCAGATAAAAATACAAATATAGCTATATGTAAGTTTAAGCTAAAAAAGGTTAAATAATTATGGCCACAACATGAGAAAAATAGCTAGATGAAAGAGGCTATGGAATGTAAACTAACAAAACTCAGGAAAGAAATTAAAAGGAAAAAATTCAGAAATGAAAACTAAATTATAAAGCAAACAGAGAAGAAAAGACAACATAAAAACCAAGTGTGGGGCATAAAAGTAAGAGAAACAGAGAGGGATGGAGAAATAGAGAATATAGAATAAAAATGAGAAAAAAGTATTAGAGAAAAGGGACAAAAAAAGAAGATAAGTGAAGATCCAACATAAACATAATTGAAGTCCCCAAAGAACAAAACCAAAACATTCCCACTACAAATATCTAAATTTTGAGTAAAACTTTACTGAAATAATATTTAATAAACACTGAAATAATAAGCAATAATAATAAATAATGAATAAATACTGAAGTATGATTGATTTGTATTTACATATTGCAATGGCACATCGAGCATCTAAAGAAATTGACCCAAAGCAATCAACAGTCAGATATGTAATAGTCAAATTGTTATATTTAAAGGTGAAGAAATTGTCTTTTTGTCATCTAAAAAAAGAGGAAAGCAAAAGCTTGGCACCAGATTTCTGAACAGCAACATTCCTCTGGAAAACTAGAGAGGCACTTAAAAGATTTCTGAGGAAGAAAATGTGAGCTAATGATTGTATCAACAAACTGCCCCACAATTATAAATAGTCTTGATGTAACAGAACCCAGGAGATGCTGTTATGAGATACTTCTTAAGAACTGACAGCAAAACAGGTTGTAACTAGCCAGAATAAGATAGGGAAATTTTTGATAAAAGGTCTGTTGGTGAGCATTGGATAAGCTAAATGAAACTGATTTAACTACTTATATTTAACTATTCTATTTTCTAAATATAATTAATTTTATGCTAGAACTAAGACAAATATGCTGAGCCTAAAGGTGACAAAGCAGAATGCAATGTGATACGCTTTGATGAAGTAGAAATTACACAACTAGCAAAAATGGGAGAAGACAACAGAGCAAAAGGACAAACTTGTTGGATGCCTAATAGATAATAAATGGGGAGTCAGGGAAATCATCTTTCTAGACAATTTACTGAAGTATAATATATATTCAGAAGAGTGTGCATCTCACTAGTGTACAGTATGATGGATTTTTATAAAGTGAAGACACCAACATAACCACAGTCTAGTTCAAAAAAAAAAAATCAGTCATTACAAGTATTCCCAAAGTCCTTCCACAAACTCCTTTCTTGTCACCAAGCCCTTCATCCCTTAAGATTACCACTATCCTGACTTCTCTGCTGAATAGAAGTGGTAATTTGTTCTGGAAATTTGTACTGTTTGTACTTTATGTATTAGGAGATTATGGCCTGTAGTCATTTGTGTCTGTGTTGTGTTGCTCAACAGTGTGCTTATAGGAGTCATTATTATTGCATTTAAAAGAAATTCATTTTCATTGCCCTATAGTAGCAGTGCTGTCCAATCATATTCTCTAAAATAATGAAATGTTTTATATATTTGCTGTCCAAAATGGTTGTCTCTAGCCACATGCGCATGTTGATATTTGAAATGCAGTTAAGTGTGAATGAGGCACTGAACTTTAATTTTTATTTAGTTTTAATTGGCTTAAATTTAAGTAGGCACATATGGCTAATGGCTACCATATTGTATAGCATAGTGTATAGTAGTCCATTTTATGAATATACTAAAATTTGTCCTTTTTTCTATAGTTAATGTTTCCAGGTTAGAATTGCTGTTTCTATGAACATTTTTCTCTTTTGGGAAAGACATGGATAAAGAAATAGCAGAATTGCTGGGTCATAATGTTTACATACATTAAGCTTTTTAATTTTGAAAGTATTTGCACAAATTCATCTTTCTAGCAGTCTGTTATTGTTTTTTAACTTGAGCAATTTTGATTGGTGTGCATGTTAATATTTCATCATGTTTTTAATTTCCTTATTCAGAGGACTGATGTTATTGGACATATTTTTCTTATTAGCTATATGAATATGCAATTTTGTCAAATATCTGTTTGATTCCTATGTC